TCTAGCAAGAACCAGGTTTTTTGGGGGCTCTGTGTTACGGGGTATGATATATAAAATATCTGAGGTGGCCATATGATACCGATAATATATTAAAATAAAAGTGGGTCTTATTGTAGTTCAATAAAATTTAGTCGTTGTTTAGCAAATTTCTATATGATAACCAAATATATATAATTACCCATAATTCAGCTAAAGGATAGAGAATATTAATTAATATTTAGTGGGAAGATATGAGTGCCTTTTCAAAATAATATTATTAATAAATTTGTTTTTAGCGTTCAGTGAATAAGCTTAGGGTAAGAAAAGTAGAAATTAACTAAATGTTTTTCTAAGCGGTTTCTGTTTAGGCCTGATGTGATCAGATTAGGAAAAATACTATATTTTATTAAGACACATACTCTGTGGTGTAAATAGGGTGAGGGTGGGAGTTGAACCCCCACCTAGTGCTGTTAAGGTCCGATTAGAGTTTTTAAAAACGGCCCAATTAAGATTTTAATCAAAATAATATTGTGCAAGCTTTGAGATGTTGCTCATAGATATCAGAAACGTTTGTGCCTTTATTTGCCAAATTTCGAAACACATGATATTATTTTGGCTAAAATCTTAATCCGGCAGTTTTAAAAAATCGTCTAAATTGGGCCACTAACAACACTAGCTACAACCTTTGAAAATATGATTTTTCATAAAACTATATGTATGAGGATAAACTTACCGACAAAATCACAGACATTACTCGAAGGCAACTTTTTTTTTTATATAAGGATAGAATTAGGACACTCTATAATATTTTAATAAAATATTGAAAAACCAATTTTAACTAGATAAATAATGATTTAAATAACGCACTAATATTTTCAGATAAGATATACATTTAGACGATTTTTATTTTTTGCTCCCCTAAAATTATAAATAGTGAGAGAAAAAAACAAATACATTAACAAATATATTAATAAATATTATGAAAAACACTTATATACAGAGTCATTAGATATTATAACTTGGCATCACTCGTACCTATTCTGGATTAAATTAAGATTAAATAATTATATTTATTAATTATTTTTTTGTCATCATAGTTATCTAATATTTAAAAGATCTAGGTATCTTGCCGCAGCTCAGACATAGATAAATAAATATACAACTAAGTTACATCACTATATAATTATTATATATAAATCATGATAACAATTAAATGATCTTGTGTTAAACAAATTAATTTATACCAAAAATTAATAGTTTAATCATATCAGCAAGTTACTAAATTGGAGGAAAATTTACAAATAGCCATGAAATTCTATCAATTTGAAAAATGTAACGAAGAGCTCTATAACTGTTACATTTTTTAGGTAATATATCAGTTGTTTTTCGTTATTTTAAAAAATTTAATTATATATAACACTGTTAAATGCAGTGCTTTGTGGAATTCTGCAAGAAAACCCGGAAATCATTCAAAACAGCTTAAGATGTTACTTAATAATGACATGCCCTACTAAATAAAATAATTTGTATCACCCCAACTTTATGCTGCTTTCAAAAAAATCTAAACTTGAAAGTCTTTGTTCAAACTAGATCTTCTAGTTTTTAAGGAAAAATAAATTGATTTTTTGGAAAATATACTTAGATTTTATCACTTGTTGCAAAAACATATACGTTATAAAAAAAAAGGAAAATTGTTATTATGGTGATTCAGTACAATATTAATTATAACCAGGAAAAAATTATTAACGCTTCAAACACCAGAACTATGTAATTGCAGAATTATTTATAATTTTATATTATATGTGTTAGTATTTATTCTATTATAATTTTTAATTTATTATAATATTCATTCATTTAATTATTTTTATATTTAATAGACTAGAAAAAAGTTATGACAAGATATTTAACATCGACTTACTGTAAGCTAGCCAATCATCTAGCCACAATTTCCCATCCATTCTATAAATTATGCTAAGAATTATCATCCTCTAATAAAAAAAAAGCTACAATACTATTTTAATGGCAACTGCAATATCCTTAGAGATAAGATCTCCTATGCAAAGCCCAGTTCCGAGATGCAACCAACTCTAAATAATTTTTTTATTTCAAAGTTGGAATTGAATTCTACAAGAATTTAAAATGATATCCAGATTCAAGTAATTATATATCTTTACTATATTAAAAGAAATTTTTATTTGTTATAAAACAAATTCACCATCCTCCACTCCCTTCGAATGCCGTTTTTTTGCTAATTTGATTAATAGAACAAATAGAAGAAAATCAAATAATATTCTTAGTGGAGTAGCAAAAATTTATCCATGGAGGGGAGGGGGCTGAAATTATTTTTGGGGAGAGGGCTTCGCCCATAAACTCTGTTGTCCGGGCTTCGACGGGCCCCTCCTACAAAAAATATTATATATTATTGATTTTTCCATGGTTATCTTTATATCACCTCTGTTAAAGTTGGCAAAACGTTTGGAGGTACCATTTTTAAAATATGCCAATGTTTTGTACTCTATTAATGTCTGACTTTAACCAGTAGAGTGGCCAGTATAAATGAAAAAATTATTATTAACAAAATTTTAGCCCTACGATTAAAAAGCAAATGAAACATTATTCTGAAAATTTTAATGTTTAGTGCTCAATTGTAAATTAATTTAATCCGTAAAAAATTGGCACTATGTTAGAAGGGAAAATATAAAAATAAACGAAATACTGGAGTACGGTATCATTTAGTGCCTATAATCAAAAAGAGACGCTGAGTTATAAAAAAAATAAAAACTACCTCGTCACGCTTTAAGCATGAAGTTAACCAAATTTTTAGAAAAATCTGAAACTTGTACCAAACCATTAATTAGTGCTTTATTAGAATATTTTATCGTTTGATTCTTTTTGGCATAGGATTTAAAGGCGAAATAAATTATTGGTAAAAAATAAAAAATTGTCAAAATTAGAATCATACCAGAGCAGAAAAAATAGAAGTTATAACTCTCTGGTTTGCATTAATATTTATTGCATTACTTATTTAACTTTGAATCAATTTCGCCAGCAACAAAAAAATATATCCGAATTCTAAAACCAATTACAAACTATGATATAATGTCTTAAACGTAAAGTTATCTAAAGATATGAGCACTCGGTCATTTATGTAAATAATTAGTGCGTATTTCATAATTTTTAGTGCTTCAACGTTAAGTAGATACTTTAAAGAAAAACAATGGCAAAAAAATAAATTGTTAAGATTGACATCATGTTATAAGGAAAATTATAGAAGTAATGAACAATATGTAGAGCATGATTGGAACTTATTAATTCATCTATCAATTTTTTTAAATAAATAAAACCAGTTATTAGCAAAATAATAACTATGGCACGCCTTTGGCTAAGTATTAATTAACGAATTAAAAATATCTAAATACATTAAAGTTTTTTCCCAATTCAAAACATTTTTAAACCCTATGATTCTATAATTAATATAGATGTTACTTATACTTTTCAATTTATTTAAAAGATATTTAACAATATAAATTATATTTTTAAATTTATAAATATCTAGTTTTTTTAATAATATTAACTATAATAATTAATTGATATTTAAAAAAACAAAATTTAAATAATAAAAAAGATGATATGGGGGGGGGGGGGTAAATTTTTAAAATCATAATATATTATTGTTATTATATTAACATCTATAAACTAATGTGTAATGACTTGTAGGAAAATAAATGATTAAATTTTTTAAATGTAATGTAGAGTTTTTGTAACTGTTACATATTCTGAATAACAGTTAGATAACCTGCTCATATGTTTAGAGTAACGGCCAATGATCATTGGTAACGGCCCAACCCTGATATTAAGTTCTTTATTTTATTTAAAAGTTTTTTTTAACACATTTAAGTATATATATATAATATAGATTTTTTTTATACAGCTTATACCTTTTATTGTAAATGTAAAGGTTTTTAAATCAAATAAAAATATTTATCAGCAAAAAAAATAAAATAAAAGTTTTATTATGATTGCAAATAATATAATATTTGATTCTTTATATTTATAAATAAAAAATATTCAAAAATTAAAGTAAGTATAAAATAAAAAATAAGAAAATATTAATTAAATAATAGAGGAAAAATAGGTTAAGTCTTAAATGAAAATTAAAGTTTCAAATTTATATGATTTAACAAATGGTTAAATTAATTAAAACAATATTAAACTATGATAATTTTTTGAATTAATTCAGCTACAAGTAATTGATGAATTAAAATTATATATCTTACTCTTTGATCTCAAATGGTTGTCATAATTTATGAGTAAAATCTTATGAGGTACTACAAAATTAGAAATTTATTTATTAAGTGTATGAAAATAGCAGTTAACAGTAGCTCGATTTTATAAATTAAGGAACAATAATGTCATTTAATCAATTTTCCACAATAAAATGGTGCTATGGCAACTATATGTATGTATTTAAATGCATTAATGTAGAAATCTAGTAGTATATACCAATCATTGATAAATTATTATAATTAAATAATTACATTTTTAAGCTCAACATAATGGTAGAATTAATATATAAGAGTGATATAGTAATCCATAAGTAATTTGCCACAAATTATCCTAGATTATTCGAATTTATTCGTAAAAATTTCTATTTGTAAATAGATCAAAAATGGCTATGTCCAATTTTATTTTCTTCCTACACATATGTTTGATCAAGATGAATCTATCCTCTAAACTTTTTTAGAATATTGATTTTGTCTTTCGTTAACATAATCATGATATGAGAATAAATTAACATAATACCAACATCTTCAGGTATATATGAAATCTATTAAGCCTACAGATGGCTTTTTATTAATTATATATTATCCAAATTCTTTGCAAATCTTTTTTATCATAAATGTTTTTAATTATAAATTTGAATTTAAAACAAAAAATTGTTGCTGATATATTTATATAATAGATTGAGATTCGATTTATTGAAAAACATTTAATGAATTTGTTTAAATTTTTATAAAAATCATTCACTGAATTTTAAAATATTTCTATTTATTCATAACAATATAAAATGTTATTTTTTAAATTTATGATGATATAAATTATGAAATATTAACATATGGTGCATAAATGATATAAACTATTCTCTCACTATATTGGGATTAAAGTGTAAGTTTTATAATAAATTAAATCAAGTAGCTTAATATTTATAGGTATAGTATATATATGGCCAAAATTAATTTTTATTTTATTTGGTAGTTTCTGAGTTATAACACTGATTTTTTGAGCTATTGATCTCCATTGACTTCACCTATTCATGCATACAACTTTTTCATCTGCTTTAGCATTAATATATTAAATATAAAAAACACCTATTTTAAACTTTATTAATTAAAAATTATATTAATATTTTAAACTTACATAAACATTCTACATCATCAATTTTATTTATAGATTTTAAAATATTTTACTCTAGCCTTTTAACATAATTTGTTAGTTTTTGACTTTTGACAAAAGCTGTAATAAAATTTTATAAGAATAAAATCATAAATTAGCATGTTTATAACATTAAAGCTACACATTTATTTAATTATTTTATATGGTGTATCTAAATTTTCATGCCAATTTTTTTAACTAAGTATGAAGTGTTAATTATCTAATGTCAATTAGTCAACAAAAAAGTTTATATTGTTGAAGATTGATAAAGGTATTTCATTATTCTTCCTCAAGTCAAATTTATTTTTTGAATAATAAAGTTAGCACTTGAAAGAAGAGGGGTAAAATAACGTGAGAGATGATGTGGTGGATTTGATCACCTCCCAACTTGAATCACATATATTTTAATATCGTAAACTTAGACTAAAATTTTGTACATACATTTTTACAACTTCCTACAATGTTTTTCTAAATTTTTCTTATGATAATAATTATACTGATTTATAATATTTATGCAATAACTCCATTTTTAGTCATTTCATCCGATTCCAAAAACAAAGCTGGTTATATCTTTTAATATTTTATAACAGCATTTTTGGGCATAAATTTATATATGTAAAATTTATAGTTGATAATTTAAAGATTATTTAAAGATATTGGAAATGAGCAATATTTATTAGTCACTAGTCTCAATAAATTTAAGAAATTTAATTTTTTTTTTAGATAGCTTAAAAAATTATCCCTCTCCAAGGTGAATTCCTGGCTATGTGCCTGTGATTGGTTTATTGCAGGTTTTACAAACATTGATATTACATGTTTATTGGCCATGATGATATCTATATAATGAAGCTCTGGAAATAGCTATGGGTACAACATAAAATAATACAGAAATATGTCCAATTAGTAGGAACTAACCAACAGTCATTTCAACCTTATGTAGAATGCGAAGGATTCTATTTTCTTCTTGGCTTCCCCTATCCAAATCAGCCACATGTTACAGCTGCAATAAAGTACATGATACATTTGCAACATAGTAGGACACATTTTAAAGTATGTCAAAATAAAAAATTATTATTAATTCACAATATCTATATATCTTAAGGCAATTAAATCAGATCCACATGATATTCAAAAATTCAATTTCAAAGAAAAATGGATAGATACTATAAATAGAAAAAATGATTTTTTATAATCTCCAAATTCTTTCAAAGATTTAATAAAAAAAATTAATCACATTCCTCTGAATTCCTGATTAATATAGTAGCCACCATTTCCATTAAAAGAAAAAATTATTGATTGCATTGTCCAATACCAAGTTTAGGACGAGACATTATTATACAAAATCCAAAATTATTAAAACTTCATTGACAAAATCAATGAATTATATATGTGCAATTAGTCAAAAGAATTCCATTATGATTTGTTAATATGCTTGGTAAAAAATTTTTTAAAATTTAATTATGATTAAAAAACAAAGCACCAGAAATAATTATATTCTAGGGTCAAACCAATTCCATATGCATATAAAAAAGGAATATAAAAAGCGGTAGATCCTTTAATACAACTGGGAATTATTTGGAAAGTACGATATATCAATATCACATCATGAGTCTTACTAATAACAAAGAAGTATTAACCAAATTTGCTGTGATTTTCGACACACTATCAACGAATATCTGATCAATAATTAGTAGTGTTGTAAACGAACGCGTTCGTGAACGAAGTTCTTTTTTTTGAAAAAAATGATGAACGGCGTTCCTTATATTTTTGACGAACTTTGAACGTGAACGCGTTCCTTTTTTATGACGAACACGTTCGAATTTAACGTTCATTCAATTTTAAAAATATTTTTATTTATATGAAAAATTTAATATTTCCGAATTTTTTTAAAAAATGTATTTATATTTTTTAATCGGCTGTGTATTTCCTTTTCACATTTCAATTTTTTTAACACATAATTTATTAATTTGAATATTATTGTTTATATTTTAATTTAATAGATTAGCATAAGCATGGATATTACTATTTAATCCTCATCATCTGATTCTGAAAATCCAAAATCAGATGAATTATCATTACTATGGCCAAATATGATAAATGTTTTACATTAACATCCTATATTGAAGGAACTAATCCAATGCTTACCAAGTGTAAAATGTGGCCAAAAAGTATTATATTGTTAAAATCTTCAGGTTCCAATTTAAAACGACATTTGATTTTAATATTAATTATTTGATTTTATATGATATAACTAAGTTAAATCATTAAATTAAAAAAAATAATGCATTTGGGATATTTGACCCCAACAATAGCGATAGTTATTTTAAAATTAAAAAAATTAGTGGCCTCAAATATGGTCAACCATTGATAGACGCCGTATTAAATGGGATTAATAAAAAGTATTAAACCTATCACTCTCAATTATTACTTATATTTTATGTTTTCAAAGATTTGAGCATATATATAAGGATCAATATGTTCTTTCTGCAATTATACATCCAGCATTCAAACTTCAATGGCCATGGATAAAACTTCCACAGAACGAACCTATTAAAAAAAACTTATATCGTTATTGAAAAAAATGCTTTGAAAACCCTAGAGAACTGTTAATTTCGAGATATCCATTTTTTTTTGTCCAGTAGATAATGGATTGGAGGAGGATAACTTATATCAATTTTTTGCAAATAACAAAACAATATGTTTTTAATTAATCGTTAAAAGAGCTGTTTATTAAGTATAATACCGCAATCCCCTCATCTGCCCCTGTAGAGCGTGTTTTTAGGCTAATGCCGTATTAACTGCCAAATGTTCCTGTCTATCAGATAAATATTTTGAAACAATTGTTATTAAAATTTAATAAAAAAAATTTTTTATAATATATTATCAAAATAAAACTATATTATTTTTTAACATGGCAAAATATATTGTATTGAAAAATATAAGTTTATTTATATTAAATTAAATTTTAAAAAAATTTATCATATAATTTTGAACTGTTTTATGAACGTGAACGCGTTCTTTTTTTTTGAACATGAACTTGAACGTGAACGCGTTCGATTTTTGTCAATGAACGTTGAACGCGAACGCGTTCGATTTTTTTAGAAATGTTTACAGCACTAATAATTACCCATTTCCTACAATTTAAACACATTTTTGACACAAACTAAATTCTCCATAACGGATTTGAAAAAGACGTATCTATAGCTCGAATTTCAAAAAAAATAGCTCTGATTAAATACATCATTTTGTCTTTTCAAATATAATAGATTACTTGGATTCTCACCTATCATATTTCAAAAGGCTCTCGATTCAAGCAACATACCCGTCACATGTGCTTTGATATTGTTGGAAGAAAAAATTCTACTTAGTATGGTGTAAACCTACGTAGGGAAATTTGAAATTAAACTACGAGCAATGTGTATAAAATTAACCACTAGCAAACATATAACCTCTATAATGAAAGTTGTATATATTTATTAAACTGCTTACATATTATCCCTTCATTACAGATTTTGCAACAAAAGCATGTTTATATATAATCTATTATAATAGAATAAACAATGGGTATGGTCAGAAGATGATAGCGTTTTTAATGAGTTAAAAATACATAAATGAGCCCCTCTACTAACGTTATATCTATCAAAATCCTCAATTTTCGCTCAGAATAGAATCAAATCAACTAACAATGAAGTTTGCACAAATTTTTTTGCTCATTTTGAATGTCCATGTTACATGGTTATGGATAAGGGGCCGCAAGTTGAATTCTTAAATCGATGTAAAAGATAGAACATAACCAAGAACGTGGATGGTAATCTACGTTCTAATGGAGAGGTGAAGAGATTAGTGCATTACGTTTAAAAATTATATTAAAAAGAATTTAAGCAGAAGAATTTTTTCAAACAGTTAAGATTCCATTTTCTTTATTGTAAAACAAGAGCCTTTAAGCCCATTTGCTAAACTAAGTCATGAAGGGTTTAAAGATATTTAATTAATGATCAGTCTGGTTAAAATATTTTAAAGCCAAAGATATCAATCCAGTTAGCTGCCAGGAATACCAGACCAATTGAGTATAACTACATACGTAGTGCGATCTCTCAAAGGGATATAAAAACGGATTTAAATTACTTAAGAAATCGCTTTACAATGAGTAATAAAAATATAAGAAAAAGTATGCCTAGCTTCCACGAGAAAATCTTATGCCTCCAGCTGATGTTTCAAGTTCTAATCATCGCGCCGAACTTGGAAAAGCTTCTTTAACCTTACCTTACTGGTTTAAACAAATAAAGGAACGATAAAATTAGTTCTTTCCTTGATATAACAGTTTTTTTTGCCCATAATTTAGAGCTAGTTGTTTTTTACATGGAAAATTTATGACATTGGTTCAAAGAATAGATGGTAAATAATAATAAGTATCGGATCGAATCGGTGAAAAATTTATACAAACATTACATATACTAATCTAATATATATTTTTTCTAGTACCGGTCCTTAGATCCCTTCAAGTTGGTGAAGCCCGGGCTTTGAAAATTTTTTAAATCGGGTTGGGCTCGGACTTGAATATAAACAAATAATATTGAAAGTAATTTTTTCCTCCTCTTCCTTTATCAAGATAAAATAATAATTAGAAATTCTCTAAAGACCAAGCAATTAGTGTTTTTTTTACTTCATAAATGCATCTTATTCATATTTTTATATCTTTAAAAATGTCGGGCCTTACTCGGACCTCAAAATAAATAAAAATTTCAGGCCGGGTAAAAAAATTTGAATTTGCAGGACTGTATTCATGGACCGGTTATTAGCTCAGAAGTCTTATGGTACATCTCTTTTATATTATATATATATTATGGCTGATTCCCCATTATATCCCCTTATTCATTTAGATAGATATAGCCAAAGGGGAGTTGTTTCCTCCTTGGGAAATTTCAAATGTGAAAGTTTTAGTAAATATCTTTTTAAGCTAATAAAAATTAAACTTCCACTCTATCCCCCATGATGAATACAATATGCCATGAATAAATTTTAAAAAATGTATAATTATTAATGAAACTCATAAGAAAAACAGCATTTTAATATTTCAAAAAGTGTAAAATCAAAATTATTTAAAAAAACATGTAACTCAGCCATAGATAAAGGAGCTGGTTTTAAGTCCTGCGCTAGAAGAAAATCCACCTTAAAGCCACCCTTTAAGAAAATGCTGATTACACCACCCATGTTCTGGTTGTTTAATATCCTTCATATATAATGCATCTATATTTTTTGGCCCAAACTCACGCTCTGAACTTAAAAAAAAGCTTAGAGAATGAATCTCAAACTTAAAATATTTAATGTTATGTATTTAAATTCAATATTTAACAATAAATGATAGTTTAATGATATTCTTCTATTTTATTCTATTGCATTATAAAGATTATAACTTGAAATAAAAAAAATGAAACGATATTTCATCTTTTTAAAATATCAGTTATCGGCTAATATTATAAAATTTTCAAATCCTATGAAATGGCGTCTTAATTTAAATTTATTTTAAATTTGATAATATATTTCAGAGTTGTTAACGCTCCTTTTTAAAAGTAGCTAGCTCCCGCTCCTACCTTCTCAAAAGGAGCTAGCCCCCGCTGCTAAATTTTTAAAAGGAGCTAGCTCCCGCTCCAAGTAATGGAGTGCCACTCCATACCGGCTCCTTTGATTTTCATTTTTTTAGAAAGTACACGAAATTAAATCATATTTTTTTATCAAAAAAATTTTATTTACATTAAATAATATATCAATATATTTATAATTTTTTATTAGCTTTTAAAAGTAATAAATTTTCTAAATTTGAATCTAACAAACATCCACGCTTCTCCTCTAAAACCTTTTTAACAATAAATAAACAGGCGCTCAACAGGAGTACTCTTTTTTAATTCAGAAAATTTATCAAAAATAGTAATTTTGATATCAATATTTAAAAAATATTTGTCCAATATATTATCTTCCTGATAATCAATTTCATGGAATCCAAAAATATCTTCCAAATCATTGCAGGGTTCCCGTGAACTAGTAGCGCCTTTTGCATCAGAAATTTGTTTTCTTGAAAAATTAATTAATTTGTATTTTAGTTTCATATTTTGTGCATTTTTTATCCATTGCCATTTAATTTGAATACAGGATGGATAATAGCCGCAATAATATTTTCATCATACATTTGAAAATCTGCAATAAATTTATTATTTTTTATTTCGATCTTCTTCTATAATGTCTGGATCTATTATATCAAAAACTATTGGATATTAAAATGATGTACAAGATTTTCCAAGAAATTTCTAATATAAAAAGAAAGAAAAACTTGATGTTTAATATTTTAACTGATTATATGAAAAACCAATATAAAACTCGGCTCAACATTTAATATTGCATAAATTTTAATAAAATAAAATAAAATTTCATTTTTATTGAATATTAATTAACAAATAAATAGATTTATTAATATTTAAAAAATAATTTAATTTATACATTAAATTTAAAAGAGTGGTGGAGCGGCACTCCTCCACTCCAGCCCTAAAAGGAGCTAGTTCCCGCTCCTGGTTTTTTAAAGGAAGGACGCTCCAAGTGTCTTTGAAAAAGTATAGCGGCGCTCCAGGAGCGCCTCTCCTTACAGCTCTGATATATTTGTATTATGTAAATAGACTAATGCTATTATATAAATAAGTGATTTATCAATAAAAATATTTTATATACATTTAGTTTATGAATATAAACTTTAACTGATCATTATATTATATTTAAATGACTTATGTTATGGCATAGTTAAATTATAGATGCTATACTAATAAAAAGTATATCAGATGATTAGATGTGTTTAGTGAAGAGATGCAAATTAGCTTATTGAGCCGGTTTTTAAAAACTGCTAACTCAATATTTTAGGCAAAAAAATATTGCCTAAACCTTGAGATTTCGCTTAGATGTCCAAACCTTTGTGCCACCTATGAGCAAAATCTTTAGGCTTGCCTAATATTTTTTAGATAAAATAGTGAGTTGGCCTTTTTGAAAATCGACTCAAATGGAACGATTTTGCAGCACTAAATTTAATCATTAAAAATTAAAACGATTAGTATTTACAGAATACAAAAATCAGATATGATATCGGATCGGTAATAGGTTGATATCAATTTAATATTAGATCGGCCTCTAAAAAGTGATATCGGTACACTCTCACAAATAATGAAACTATTTTAATAAAAAATTGTCTGCTATAAAATCGGAGAAAAACATCCTTAAACTACTTTCCTCATCCTTATTTTTTAAATTGATTTTATTATTTATATATTCGATTAGGTGAAAAAGGAAGAATAGGAAGGAAATATAACATAAATATTTTTCGGGCCACGGACCGGGCTCATTTTACAAATAATGCTGCTTCCGGTCAAGCTGAGGGGTCGGCCCCGCATGACTAAATTGATAATTTTTTATTGATGTCTTTGTTAATTATATTATCTTTTAAATTACATACTTTCACCCGTCTTGTAAATGTATAATATACTATTTTTCAAATCATTTAAATGTTTTTAGATTAGCAGTTTATAGGCTCAGGTATGCCTATCACCATTTCCACGTTCGAAAAAAAAACTTTGCATCGCCATTATAACATGATAACTCTCTTCGTAAAATGTTAATAATTATTTTATTGCGATTGTCCGAACGATTCTTTTCAATACCCTTCCATAACCACGTTTGCTAATTGGCACTCCTCGTATTTTGTCACCCGACTCCACCGCGAAAATAAATTATTTTGATGATGTGATTTTTATTACAGCTATATTTATTCTAATGGAAAAGACTTCATCGGCTTATAGACCTGATATTCTAAAACAAGTATAATTTATTTTTAGAAATTTAGTTGACATATCACCTGTAACTAAAATCATCCACACCTCACCCACAAAATTTATTATTTATTAATAACTACCATAAAATCCCAAATTAAAATTTAAACGAAATTATTTTGATTAAAATTTTCACCTCTTGTTTGCATATTCTATTCTTTTTGAAAATACTACAATTTATTATAAATAAGCTACCTAATTATGTTAGTGAGAGAGCTATTGTTTTTGAATAAATTATAGTTATTTTGATCATAGATTCTTTTATCTAAAATTATTTGCTAATACCTCATTAAAAAATTCATTGTTGCATTATTATTCTTTCAACGGGCTTCCCCCCTTTCCTACTATTTTACAATATTGATTATATTATAATAATTTTTTTTTAAATTTAAATGAAACCATTATTCTTATTAGTGATCTGCATCGGGCCTAATTTTTCCAGCCCGGTCCGACCCGAAATTTTTTTAAAAAAGTTTTGCCGGCCCGGCCCGAACCCAAAATTTTTTAAAAAATGTTTTGCCGGCCCGGTCCGAACCCGAAATTTTTTTTAAAAAAATTTACCGGCCCAGTCCGGCCCGAATTTATTTAAATAATTTTTATAATTACTCATTCCAATAAATAAAATCAAATATTTTTATTTTACATAAAAAATACAATATAAAATTGAGAAATTTAGATATATTTAAAAAAAATTCCAAGGTCAGACCCGACCCGGCCCAAATTTTTTTAAAAAATATTAGGCCCGGCCCGAACCCGATTATTTTCGGGCCGGGTACGGGTCGGGCCTAACTTTGCAGATCTCTAATTTTTATTCATACCTTCTGACATCTTATGTGTTAAAAAAATTTAATTTTTAAATAATATCCTCTTTAGGAACATATAAATTAAAAGAACATAAAGTTTAAAGGACACCTTTTCCCCCAATTTTATTTATTAATTAATATCATATATTTTTTAAAAACTAATTCTATATGCTTCAAACAAAAAATTTTTCTAGAGAGAAGGTAATAGAAAATCCTCCGTAATATTCTATTGTCAGTCAGGCAGGCATGAATATCTTGCTACTGTTTGTGAAATTAAATTTATTATAAAATCATCAAAAAATTACTGTTAGTTCTTTTTAATTATCAGATTAGATATTTCCCATAAAATAATAATTCTTAAATAAATAGCTGTTTTACCCGAATGATGGGCATTAAAACCCACTTTTAATTAAATTTATTAAAGATAAATAAATATATCATGTAATTTATTTAAAACGTCTGTAATCATATCATAGGTGAATTTATTTCGAAGCTTAATGAATCGAATCAATTATTTCAACATAGTATCTTTAAAAATATCACAAAAATTGCATCCTTTTTTTTTAGGTTAATGATGCTTGGTACCTTAAGGTACCATCTATCAAATTTGAATTTTGTTCATTTTTCATTTGGATAGGCACTACCAAATATATTTATAATATATATTTGAAAAATCGTGATTTTTGGAAAGCCTCTATGGCCTAGTAGGCAAGAGCTTGGCTTACTTATCCTATGCTCCCGGGTTCGAATCCCGGGAATGATCATGTTTTTTTTCTTATTCTAACTTGGTGGTTCCATCCTTGGGGGGATGATATATAGAAGGCCGGACTCGACCACGTGATTCCGTATTAATATATTAAATAATAAGGGTCTTATTACATTTTAATATATTTTGGTCGGTATTTAGCAAATTAGATTGGTATTTAAAATATTTCCATACATTCACTTGGTAGTAAGCATCATTAACCTTTTTTTTACATAGTCTAATTCAATTATTTTCAATTTGTAATAAACATGCAATAAAAAAAATTATAAGACAAACAAAAACTAAAAGTTTTTATTTACCTGTCATATTTTACATTTCATTTCATTTCATTGATAATTTATTATTTATACTATTAATAATGGTAATGTTGATAGATCATTAAACCCGATCCTTTCAATTTTAATAAATATTTTTAATAGTAATATAATAACATAATACATTAAATCCAAAATTTTGGGCTCCTAGTATTAATATGTTCTAAGAATAGTTGGGTAATGGTTATATGTCTACTAATTTGGCTCAATATAAAGGCCCATGACCGAGAAAATTCGTAAATATTAAGGCGTTTTAATCCAAAATGTTTTCGGTCCTGAGATATCACGGGTCAAAAACTTCATAAATAACGTTGTTTTTTAAAATCTGATTTAAAAAAAAATGAGATAAGCTAAAATAATATAGCTAAAAATAAAAACTAATAGTCATTTTATATAGCTCTGCCTACCCATTTAAATTTCCATTTCCTATATAAATTTTGACATGTATCGAGGGATTTTTAGTTATAGAAATTTCTTTTTAAATGTGAATATTTTCTTAAAATTAGATGATCTCCTAAAAGAGAATGGTTTTTTGTATAATTATGTGTCATTTTTTCTATACGCCATGAGATTTAGCAGAATTAATGCCCTGAAATAGTATTATTTCTTTTTAATACTAGCAAAACAATCCTTTTTTTCTTATAAATTTTTAAAATAAGTTATAAAAAATTAAATTGAAAATAGTTTTATTATTTACCATTTATTTTATGTTATAAGTTTTTTAATAATATTTTTTTAGAAAAGTACCGCCATCTATTGCTAAGAAAAATATTCGTAAATGCTGAAAAAAAATTTGATTGTTTTAATTTAAAACATTATATATTTATAGATAAGATACAACCAACTGTATAGATTTTTAATTATTTTTTATAACACTCAAATTTCCTTGTCAACATTTGTACAAGGAATAAAATATCCATTACATCTTAATGTTATCTAAAAGGGTTTCGATAGGGCTGTAAAATGACACCATAGCATTATTCGTCTTTTATCTCCATTAAAGATTTTTTTATACATTCCGAAAAATGTTAACTTTCGCATTTTTGACCTCTGACAATATACCCATTGATGCTGGAAAGTAGAAACCTATTTTGAATTTAATATTTCTTTGTCAAAATTAATAGGGCACGGTTAAAAACAACACAATTTTTTTTATTTAAATATAGATTAACTAGCCTATTTCTGTGTTTTAGTGAAATTAGGGGGCACTTAAATATTTTTATACGGCCAATAAAAAAATTTAACCTGATATTCCCTCAAGTTTAGTTTTGAACCCTAGACTTGCCGCACCTTGGCAGTTTTTTAACTAAGAGCCACTCTTCTCGTTTATAAAATAATGATTGTATATGTCCTATTGGGATATGAAAATCATTGGGATTAGGTATCTCTCAATTTTAAATTATTCAGTAAGCGCGATTTTTATATCTAAAATATCCTATTTAACCGGAAACATTTTCCAACATGTAGAGAGTATCCGGATTATTTCATTAAATAGATCAATAAAGTCACATCTGACCCATTAAAAATTGTTAAAATTTCTCGAATTATTTAGATAGGTAAAGAAAGCCGTTTATTTTAACACTTTATCACAACTGGTTCCTGAGATACAGAGCCTCAAAGTAAAAAATGACAAATTTTGCATCTGTTAAATTTTTAAATTGCTTATATCAAAAACTTTTTAAGGCATGAATTCTATTAAAATGAAATATTGAAAGACAACATATCATTTAGGCAGACTTTACTGATATCTGTGGGGCAAGTTACCATTCAACCTTTTGTAATTTATCACAAGACACCTAATAATTTAAATCATTTAAGTTACTTAATAATATCAGAATTTATCATTCATAATACAATTGCCGTTCATTTATTCCAAAAATATTTAGTTCATAGAAAAATTTCAAAGCCGCCTAAAAAAATTCTTATACTTTGAGATGGAGCAGAATCACCATATAAGAATCACAAAATTTAATCAATCTTTGCCACCATGAAGATGATTTCTGAATGAAAGCTGAGGCATTGGTATGTCTCATTGCAAATCGGCTTGTAACAGAGTCGGAGATACAATCAAACTTTTAGTGGCCTGGGCTAGTTTACAAAGGTCTGTTTCAGGATAAATAACTTCCTAAAGAGTTTTTTACCTTAAAGAAAATATTAAAGGTTTATTAATTTATATTATAAATATGCTGGAAAACTCAAATATTTCTAGAAGAAAGATTCAATAAAGCGCGTATCATACCAGGAACACAAAATTCATACTTTTATTTAATTTCTCAAGATAAAATTGAAGTTTAATTTTATTCAATTTCAATATAACGAAAATATTAAATATAACACTTCACTCGAATATTAAGGCGAATTTAATATATGAAAAAAATTAATGTATATAGATAGCATATATCTATGATAATGCCTGTTTTCGAAAAAAAATTCGAAAAAGAGGTCTTATTAGGTTTTTTGCATTCTCTAAAACCCTAAGATTCTTATACTTATTCCTCCTCGATTGAAATTGGTATACGTAAGGCACAAATTTTAGATGTGACCCATCCTTCAACTGCTACCGGACTAACATTGTTATATAAAGATGAAACAAATAAAATTATTCATCTTTTTAATTTATTTGCTTAAATATATATATATAATTATTTATACCTAACTATATTTTGTTTCAATATATATCTTAAATTATGGAATGAATTTGATTAGCTATCTACATTTCTGTACCATTTATAAAAATGAATAATAGAAAATTATACAAAACATTTATTATTGAAATTTGATACATTATTAAGATGTTTAGGGTATTTGCCCCTACTGCCCCTCAATTTAATTGGTACTTGTAATAGAAATTCTAAATATTATTTAGTATAAAAAGTATAAATATTCGGAAATTAGTAAGTTAGCAAAAACATTTTAACCATAATCCGTTTTATAGCCCCATCTATTTTATGCAAATAAAAATTTCAATTTTTGATAAAAAAATTAATATTTTGGAAGAGCCGATACCGTAGCCAAGATTATCACATCGTATATTTATAAAAGGTATTTAAATAAAGGGCAAATTTATTTTTAAAAACCAATTCTCCTTATAGATTAAAAACACGAG